TTGGGTTCGCTAACTTCTACCGCAGGTTCATTCGGGACTTCTCGACCCTTGCGCGCCCTCTTTTCGTGCTCACCAAGAAGGACCAGCAATGGACTTGGGGCGACGCGAGGCCTCCGCGTTCCAAGCGATCAAGGACGCGGTCACCTCGGAACCGGTCCTGGCGATTCTGGACGACGCACGGCCTTTCCGACTCGAGGCGAACAGCTCTGATTATGCGGCGGGGGCGGTTCTTTCACAATCCGCCCCGGACGGGAAGTGGCACCCTGTAGCATTCTATTCCAAAAGCTTAAATGATGTCCAGCGCAACTACGAAAATCCACGACAAGGAGATGCTCGCGATCATCCGCGCACTCGAGGAGTATAGACACTTCCTCGAGGGCGCCGCACCCTGTCGAGATTTGGACTGACCATAAGAATTTGGAGTACTTCAGGAAGACACAGCACCTCAACCGGAGACAGGCCCGGTGGTCTCTGTACCTCTCCCGGTTCGACTTCATGCTGCACCACAAGCCTGGCCGCGATATGGGTCGGCCTGACGCCCTCTCCCGGAGACCCGACCACGGAGTCGATTCCGACAACTCCGATGTCGTCCTTCTGCGGCCTGAACTCTTCCACGTCCGCGCACTCGAGGGTGTTTCCGTTTCCGGTCCCGGCTCTGAACTCCTCCGCGACATCCGTGATGCCCTTCTGACGAGTGGGCCGTCTCCAGCGGTCTTCTCCATTTCCGAGGAAAGATCGTCGTACCAAAGGACAAGGACCTCCGGAGACGCATCATCGAGCTCTGCCATGACACCCGAGTCGCCGGACACGCAGGTCGTTTCAAGACCCTGGAGTTGGTCTCCCGGAACTACTGGTGGCCTCAGATGTCTCGCCATATCGGCCGGTATGTTGCGACCTGTGACTTGTGCTGTCGCACCAAGGCACTCCGGAGACTGCCCCACGGAGAACTGCACCCCACGGAAACGCCCCGGAACGCTGGCATACCGTCTCCGTCGACTTCATCGTAGAGCTTCCCGAAGCCCATGGGTACGACGCGATCATGGTCGTCGTTGACACCCTCGGAAAGCGCGCCCACTTCTCGGAGTGTCATACGACGGTCGATGCAGTAGGGGCAGCCCGCCTCTACTACCGGAATGTCTGGCGGCACCATGGGACTCCGGAGAAGTACGTCTCCGACCGCGGCTCGCAGTTCATCGCGGACTTCACCCGAGAACTTTGGCGTCTAATCGGCATCAAGCCCGCCACGTCCACCGCCGTACCACCCGCAGACAGACGGTCAGACAGAGCGCGTCAACCAGGAGCTGGAGCAGTACTTGCGGATCTTCACCAACTACCAGCAGGACGACTGGGATGAGCTGATTCCGGCCGCGGAGTTCGCCTACAACAACCACGTTCACTCCTCTACGCAGCAGGTCCCCTTCATGACGGACACGGGACGGCTCCCGCGCATGGGCTTCGAACCCGGAGTCCGTTCCGCCATGGAGTCAGTGAACGAGTTCCGCGACCGGATCGCCACTGGTGTTGCTGAAGCCAAGGCCGCTCACTAAGGCCAAAGAGGAGTACAAGCGCTACTACGACCGGAGACGGACTCCGTCTCCGGAGTTTAAGGTTGGCGACCGTGTTTGGCTGGATGCCTCTGACATCAGGACGACTCGCCCCTCGGAAAAGTTCTCCCATCGCCGCCTCGGACCGTTCAAGATAGTCGCGGAGATCAGCAAAGGTGCCTACAAGCTCGACCTCCCTCCGCGCTACTCGAAGCTCCACCCGGTCTTCCCCGTCGTCAAGCTCGAGCTCGCCCAGGGACGACCCCTTCGATGGACGCCCCGGCTATGACCAGCCCCCTCCGGACCTCGAGGACGGAGTCCCGGAGTGGGAAGTAGAGGAAATCCTGGACGCAAGGGTGAGGTATAAACGGCTGAACTACTTCGTCAGATGGAAAGGCTACGACACATCGCACGACCAATGGGTCCGCTTCGACCGCGTCTTCGCCCCGGAGAAAATTGCGGAGTTCTATCGTAAGTACCCTGGCAAGCCACGACACATCGCCTCCGCGACCTTCGACTTGATTCCATTCCGGTCTATGCGTCGGGACGCCGCATTCAAAGGGGGGGGGTGATGTCAGGGGAACCTCCCTTTCGGCCCGGAGACGCGCCCGATTCCGGTCCGACTCCGGTTCCGACTCCGGTCCGGCCCTCCATCTCGCCCGCACAATCACCGATCCGTCAACGCCCTCCCGACGGTCGCCCTGGGACCAACAGCGGCAGCTACGGACAAGCAGTATATAGTCAGCTACCTAGCAGGCGGACCCTTAGAGTTTCTTCTCTTTGGATCCTCCCCTGCTAGGTCAGCTTCATTTGTATTCGCTTACCAATGTTCACGCCTTTGGATCCTCCCCTGCTAGGACCTTGATCTCAGGCCTCCGGGGTTGCCCTTACAGCCGCAGCGATGACGGCAGGGGTAGGAGCCGGGATTGTTGGAAGAACCCAGCGACTGCTGTCCCAGACACCATGGAATGTAGGACCAGGGGAAGGGGGAGCAGGGGGTGGAGCAGGCGTACCATACTCAAGGCGGTCGAGACGGTCGGTGAGGCGAGTAATTTCGCTCTGCAGGAGCAGGCAGTACGAGTACAGGTCAACAGGGACGCCGGGAGTCGTCATTGGGGGAGAGAAGGCAAGCACAGTAGGGTGAGGACGAATATAGGAGATAGAGAGGATCAACTGGGGCTAGAAGAGTGCCAGAGTCGATGTAGAGGCTTTGGTATACTGTCAGGGGATGAGGGTCCAGGTGCCTAGTTGATACCAAAGCCGGGGGAACAACCCCACGGCCAACTATGTAAGTACAGGGCTATCTGCGCACGGACCAGTCACGTGATCGGTCACAGTCGTCACATCACATGCTCCCCTTACAACCCAGACCAAGCTGAAGGTCTTCCGCAGCATTGAAGTGCATTTTTCTACTGACCAAGCAAAAGTTATCAAAATCCAGGCACTTCGGGCCACCCAATCCGCCAATCTTCCTGAGCGCTGGCTAGAGGACATCAAGGTACTGAAACTCTTCATGATGTTTTGCTCCTGTGCCAGCGACGTCCTTCTATCGCGCACTGTCCTTGGCGGGTGCCTCCTGAATACGGCAAACGATGAGATTGACAAGGAGACCAGTGGAATTGGTGAAGGGAAAGGATGTGTTGTTGGCATGCATGCAGTTATTCTGTCCGTCTTTTCTCCACTGACCCATAACAGAACAGATGGCTGGCGCAGCAACCGGAGGGACGCTGTTGGCGGTATTTCGCTGACATACAAGTTCAAGGTGCGCTACTGTGGCTTGCTTTCGTGTCCTGTCTAACTCTGTCCCTCAGAACTTCCTCATTGACCTCACCTGAACGAACGCAGCCAAGAAGGACGGCAAGTCGATGATGGCCTAGTTTATGGCCATGATCGATAAAGCTGAGGCGACTCTCGGGTTGCCGCGTTCTTGCCTTCCTCACCAACAATGACGGCGGTTACAAGAAAGGGCACCTCCTTCTTAGCAATGCCCGCCCGTGGCTCCTAACTTTCCCGTGTTGGTGGACTGGCCAGCTGGACCAACAACCCAACCCATCAAGCATCATTTATTGAGCTGCATGTGAGTCATCTTTCTCATTTATTTGCATTCCTGACTGCAATTACAGGGTGACAACCCAATCCGTTTTTATGAAATGCTGCTGACAAATGTAAAATTGCGGCAATTTGCTGAATTCATTCTCTCGATTCTGCACATCATTGTCGACCAGGCAGGTCTCGAGCACTGGTTCTCTGACTTTTCCAACAAGAAAAACAAAAAGCGCAATCACCTTGGTCTGGATAAGATGGCAAAGCAGGCAAAGGTCCATTCACCTTACTCTCTTTTCCATCACCGACAACTACCCAGGTCACACGTCTGGGAGGAGCAGTATGCTGATAGCCTCCGTGAAAAGCATGATGCCCCACCTGTGAATTCCGCATACGTCGGCGGAGGGGGAGGGGGAGGTGCCAGTGGGGCCCCCGTCCGAGTGGATGGTCAGCACATGCACTCGTAGTAAGTACATGCACCCCGGTACCGTCACGTTCACGCGGTCGACCCGCGCCCGCGCCCGCCGCCGGCATACCCCCCTATCTGCGACCGCCCATTTTTTCTGCGCGGCGCTCCCGCGTTGGCGATGTAACATACACGTGCTCGAAGCGTCGCATCGGCCGCAGGCTTCAGGCAAGTCGATGGACAGTGAATGACCGTCCGCCGCCGCCGCCGGCTGGGAGGTCCGGGACCGATTGATCGCGATCGCGATAAGTAGTACTGACGATCGATCGTACGCGTAAGCAGGACGCGAAGGTGAGGTCCCCGCGCCGCACAACCCCCGCCGCTGCCTCCGCGCGAAGGTGAGCCTCGAAGGCGCGAAGGTATGGCTAATTATACTTAAGCGCGTGATGGGATCACTGGTGACAGCAGCGCCACCGCCACCGTCACTTAGGGTTATTACCTAGCGGGCTTGAGCCTTGACGACGACGACGATGACGAGTGGGTGCGCGACGCGACGTTAGGTCGTCCCAAGCGCTGCAGTCTGGGGCACACAGGTGGCCCGTGGGCGTGGCACGTCCCAAGCGCGGTCAAGGCCCCAGCGCGCGGAGGGCTCGGCCGGTGGCTGTCCTCGCCGACGCGCGAGTCGCCGCTTTGGGACCCACATCCGGATTTGGGCGTGGGACGGGGCGGGAGGTGAAACGGCAGCTGGCATGGCAGGCCCCTGCAGAAGTCGAAGCGGCGGAGAGAAGAGAAGGAGAAGGGGAGGAGAGAGATCCTCGGTGCTTGGGACGCGTCAGCGAAGGGATGCTTTGGCTGGGGACGGGCTTCAAAGCGCGGGTGGTTAAAAGAGAGGCTTTTTGTCTCTTGCCAGACGCCACCTTACCCCACACCCACACCCACAACACCCACAGCCCAACACCCCACAGACCACACACTTTGCCTTATTGTCTCTCCCCACCACCGCCACTATGTCGCGCCACGACGGCTACGTCCCGCGCCCGCCGAACGCGTTCATCGTCTTCCGGTCGCGCTTCATCCGCGAGCACAAGGCCCGCGCCGCTGCCTCTCGGGCGGCCTCGTCGGGCCGGCAGGGGCGGGCGTCGCAGACGGACTGGAGCCGGCTCGCGGCGGAGCGGTGGCGTGCGCTGCCCGACAACGAGCGCCAGGTCTTCTTCGACATCGCAGACCGCATAAAGGAAGAGCACCGCGTGTTGTACCCGGGGTACAAGTACCAGCCCCGTCCGCAGCTAAAAAACCAGGAGGAGACCGAATGGGAGGCCCCAACGACAACGACACGCACCCGGCGCCGCCGTCGGACTGCCTCTGCATCTGCCTCTGCCTCGTCGCCGTACCCGAGCCTCGCGCCTCCGCCACAGAACCACGGCCATGACCACTGGGCGGTGCGTCGCTTCTCTTCTCTTCTTAAAACTCTCGCTGACAGCCATCCGTAGAAATCGCCCTCTCCCGCGGTCTCGTCCGCCTCCTCCTCCGCGACGTCCTACGCCCCCTCCGTCTCGCCCCATCCCTTCCCGCCGCCGACGACGCCGGCGGCGTACTACGACCCTGCCCCGGTGCCTGCCCCGGCCCCGCCACCTGAGCCTGCGCTCGCCTACCCGGCCCCGCCGCCGCTCTACCTCCCGTACGACTACCCGTATGCGGCGGCCGCGGCGGACCCCACCGAGTTCGACTACGGGCTCGGCCCCGTCGACGCCGGGGACGCCTTCTTCGACCTCGGCCTCTCCCAACCCGCCGCCGCCCCCGCGCCGGGACTCGGAGGCAGCGCGGACTTCAACGCCGCTGCGCCGTACGCGGGCTATTATTATAACTATTAGGGCAGGGAAGGGGCATCTTATGCGTCGTTTATTCGTCCCTTCGCCGCTTCATTCGCAGAGTATTCTCAGGCTATGTATCTTCCCCCGTGTACTTCAAGTCGTTGTATAAACAAATGTACGTAGCGTACCCCACACCCCGCCTCGCGCTGAGGGTAAAAAAAAACTGTTATCTGCCAGGGTCAATCGAACACGGTACGGACCGCCGGCGAACGCGCCGTGCCCGCCCCCACGGCCGCGGCCGCGGCCGGCCCCCCGCGCCATGGTACTGTCACTTATATATGAGTGTTGCCGAATGACCGGTGCTTATGGATATGCGCCCACCCAGGCGGCCGCAAAAGAATCAAACATTTAAATGCTAGGTGCGTGGCGCGGATCGAACGGGCGCCGCGGCCGGCACGGACCCCGGACCCGTGTGTCGGGCACGACGGCCACGATGTACGTATTCGACCGCTGTATCGTTGCACTTCTGTATCGTTGTACCTACCTACCGCCTGTCGCGCGCGGACTTCAACGCTGCCGCGCCGTACGCGGGCCATCCTTCAGGGCAGGGAGGGGACCGAGGGGTGCTGTTATGCGTGCAGCGTCGTTTCATTCGCTTCGTTGGCATATTCTCTCCTGCGTTTTCCAAGCGTTTTCTGGGTACCTTATGCATCCTCTGAGCTGTGTTGTGCAGCCCAATCAACGTACTTGAGTATACTGTCCTGCACTGCTTATCCCCTGACGCCGGCGCAAATTTGGAGAAAAAGGTATCCATCACAAAGCCCCATAGAGCGCGGCGCGGGCCGAACGCGCCGTGCCTGCCCGACGGCCGCGGCGTGCACTGTGTGTGCCGCGGAAGGCCATCCTGAGTGTCGTCTGTCATGGATACAGACTGTACAGTATCGCGGGGGTCCTGCGTCTCCGAGATCGTCTGCCCTGGCCAGTGGCCAGTGATCATTGCGCGGCCCCCACACGGAAAAGTCCTCGCCATCACGTCGAAAAAGCAGCCCGTGATGGATATGCGGGGTGCACGGATCGAACAGGCAGCCGGGCCTTGCATGGGCGAGTGGCGCGACGAGCGCTTGCCAGTGACGTGTTCTGTGTATATTGCTCTGTATCGTGCTGCCTGCCGTCTGTTGGACGCCTCGCCGACCCCGGGCGGCGCGCCGGGGGTGGGCCGAAGGGCACCAGAGAATGAGTGTACACTAGGAAACAATCGCCGTGGAGCGGGGCCCCTGGACCCGTGGTGCTGGGAGACATCTTCCCTCGACACTGGAGTTTTCAGGCTGCTCGGCGGATCGAACGCGCGCGACAAGAGCCCTCGGAGATAGGCGATTTCTACCCACGCTCCTTTCCGCATCACCACGATGCCATGTCGCTTTCTTCACTGTCCATAATGGCCGCGGTTGACCCCGTCTCGCCGCCCCCCTGGGGCGGCCCACGGATGTCGCCTGGCCGGCGCCCAGCAAGGTGGGAGAATCTCTGAATCGGGGGATCTTGTAGTTATGTCCACATCCCAGAGGCGCTGTCAAAAAACTATGCAAGATGATAGCTACGGTGCCGGCGACGCGTGTCAAGCTTTGTGTGCCTACTCCGCGGCGAACGTGTCCTTGGCGCTCGTGCCGGTGAGTGGCGTTCGCGGGCATTCCCCGTTTCAAGTTCAGTGCTCAGAAAGCGCTTGGCCTCGTTGTACGACCGAGGTTCGACGTGGAGGCGCGGAAGTAAATACCGAGGCGACCAGGGCGGACAAGGCAGGAGGTGCGTTCGTCGACTGCAGTTCCAGGATGAAAGGACTTATGTCTTCAAGTCGTAGGCCGCAGCGGCGGACGCATGTATCGATGCCAACTTGGAGCAATCATCGGCCGCAGCAGTCTGGCTAGAGCGTGTCCAACTCCCGGGGGTCGAGCTCAGCGGCTCCCTGACGGACACTTGTGCCCGCAACGGCGGTGACATGGCGCCGTATACCCACCGCTAACATCCATCGTCGCTGGGTATGCTCTTGCCGCGAAAGTGGCGACGCTGGCCCATGGCCACGCGAGCCTCCTTCCAATTGGACACGGAGTTAACGGCTCAAGGCGCGACGTATCGGAACAGCGAATGGTGGGATGCGACAGATCTACGGCCTTTGATTCCCGTGCCAGATCTTCGCCTAGACACGTTCCACACAGGTCTAGATGTTGCGCTCGTCGGGCCAGTGGTTAACGTTGTGCTCCCGTCGTCGCAGTCCCGACAACCGTATAAATTCGAGGTGGTCTCCTCCGTTGTCTTCATTCCCTCAGGCTTCTCACCACCACTTCCACACCAAAAACCTATCATCCCCTTCCCTCTACGAACATAATGCAGTTCCTCACCGTCTTCGCCACCCTTGCTGCCTTCGCCACCGCTGCCACCGCCATCGACAACTACCGCGGTGAAGGTGCGTTGTCATATTGTCGTTCATTGAGTCTGAGGCTAACGTAGATATTTGCAGCCACGATCTACAAGTCTGGTCCCAACGCCTGCAACGTCGCCCCCGGCACGCGCTTCATCGCCCTCCCCTCACCCATCTTCGACGACAGCCTCTGCGGCACGATCGTCGCCGTCCAGAACCTCCGTAAGCAGCGGTTCTATGTCTTCTTCAATTTCGGCGCAGCTGACGGTTGCCCGTAGAAAACCACTTCGGCGGCCAGCTCGTTGTCGGCGATCGCTGCGACACCTGCGTCGGCAATGCTGTCCAGATCTCCGAGAACGCCTTTGGCTCTTTCCTCGACGACAACGACAAGGAGATCGGCGTCACCGTCTTTGAGGCCGCGTACGCTGTTGGCATATTCGGCCGCAAGTAAATAGTAAGGATGTTACATAGGATAATTCAAGGGATAATTGGACTGTGAGACTTTCCAGCTACAGCCTAATGAGATTTACACATTGGTACCAAGCAACTTGAAGCTCCCGATATTGCTCATCATCCTGTCCTTTTCTACTAGTCGTCGTCAGAATCGTCTTCACTCGTAGTCTCCTCCTCCGACTCGGATGCAGACTCCGGCTCTCTCTCTAAATGATCCGTGAGGTCAACGCGGCTGTAGTGTGTGAGGGTGAAGATAGTGGCCTCAGCGTAAGAGGACAGTTCACATCCGTCAATGTACAAATCTACCGTTTCCAGCTGCGCGAGCCCTGGGGCTGGTTTGAAGTCACCGATGCAGCGCGACACGAGCATTTCGGCGAGCTGATTGCCATCGTCGCGAAGCACGTCGCCGTCCGCTCCCTCGTGCGTCATCGTGACCGTGAATGTGCGGAGATTTGGAAGCAGGAAAGGTTCCTCACTGTAACGGAGCTGCTGTATGAGGCCAGAGTCAGTCCTGCGCAAGTGGAGCGTCGTAATGCTTGGGTTTTCCGCCAGGAACGCCGGAAGAGATGTAAAGTCGAGGCCGTCGGCGAGCGTGAGGGAGGCAAGCGTGAAGGCTGACCGCTGGTGGAGGGGGCCAAGAATATCAGCAGGCTGTCCATGGGCAGACTGGATTGCACGGAGGTCCAGCGATTTGAGCGACGGAAGCGTCAGACGTTGTAATATAGGATAACGAGTTATCTCGGAGCTTCGCAGAGTCAGATGGACAAGATGTGGCAGGGTTATATGGGCGGGGAGGGAGGAGACGTCCAGCGAGCAAGGATTCGGCTCATTGGGATCATATCGGATTGAGGGGAACATCGCTGATCGCAGTGCTGGGCTTTGGCTCAGCAGCCACACAATGGCACGCACATCCAGCGGGCATTGAAACTCAATCTCCTCCATCTCTGCCCATGCAAAAGCCGGGAGCAGTCCTGTATAGCAAGAAGAGGCTGACCCCCGGGGAAAGTTTAGCACCAGACGACGCAGTTTCGGAGCTTGCTGGAATAGATTGACCATGGCAGCAATCGGAACACTCTGGTCACTAAGGCTTGTACGCCCAGTGATACGGAGAGTATGGAGAACAGAAAATGTCGGCGCAGGGAATGCAACAGCGTCCATGAAGTGGCAGGCCGCCAAACAGATATGTAGGTGGAGGAGGCGATCGGTGAACCCTGGCGCATTGAACAGCTGGGTGAGAATCGGCGATGTGTATTTTTGGTACGTTTTAGGATTCCGCGGCACTCGAGAGCCAACATATACCATCAACTCGTGTGGATGTGCCCGTCGAACCATCTCGTCAAGGCAAGTCAGTGGGTTGCGGCGAGGAACCAGAGGAATCGTAATGCGAAGGTCCTCCCACAGCCGTGGTGCACCAAGGGCGATCGCCCGCCATCGTGCAGAGACTCTTGTGAGGACCATTGCAGCGGAGCGATAATGATAGCTGTTGTAGCGCTCTTTAGCGGGGCCCTCCAGGTAGGCGTGCAGGTACATCGTGAAGATCTGAAAGAGAATTTCGTTCGGGAAGTGACGGAGGGGGGATAGAACGTGGGTTATATCGACAGCCTTTGCGTCGACGTGTGATTTAGCTTGTTGCAACGCCTCCAGAGCCGCTTGGAGGGTGGCAATTTGGTCGGTCAGCCGTTGGGACTCTGCGTGGCTCGCGGCAAGTAGCTGGTGTAACAGTGATGTTTCAGAGGCAGAGGGAGGTGTGTTAGATGCGAAGAGGTGCGCGACCTGCGACAGCTCGACTGTCTCCATGTTGTGGATGGTGATGGTTGATATCAACAAGTGGTGTGACGTGTGACCTGCGATGACGCTATAAGTCTCACGAGACAGGCCAGCGATCAAATGGCACATCACCCCAACAACTCAGAAGAAACCCGGAGGATTTTTTTTTTTTGAAATTTCAATGAAGGTAATAATGGTTGAAAAAATGGTGACCATTATTGATTAGAAAAAAAGGTTTAAACAATGTCAACTAGATAGGAAGGAAATTTAACCAGAAAAAAACACAGATTGTAGCAGAAAATGGGTGCATATATAGGGAAAATGGAAGATATCTGTCAGGGGAACCCCCCACTTCGGACCGTCCGAGCGCATCCGAGGCGCATCCGACTGGCGCCCCCTCGGATGCTCCAACCTACCCCGACCCTCGTCC